AGCCTTGGCTCTCCAGGACTAGATGCTCCCCTAGATTGCAATCCTCATCCCCTAGATGTGACAGGGGTGTTCACACTGTGGGTGCAAGTATTTCATAACAAATTGTAAAACAAATATATGTGTAATTTTTAGCAGAGGTTGATTACACTGATCACTGATGTAAGATGAGCCACTTAAATGTATGTCAACTATAGAATAAGGGTCATCCATTTGTTCCACTCAGTATCATACTTCTGAAGTAAGAGAAAACTTGGCTCCACTCTCTCAACAGAAACTCATTCTCAAAAGCAGGATGTACCTTACCAAAAGCAGGAGAAAGAAGCAGCAGGCACTGTGATTCACTTACCTTTCTGGAGGAATGTACACTATTAAAAACTAAATTTGATAGTGTAGGACTTTCCACACTCTAAACACAGCTAGTAGGAATATATACATCTATATATGCATATAACAAAGGTGATGAGGAAAACCTGCTCCCAAGTCTGTGTTTGCTACCATTGAGTATTCAAAATGATCCAAAGCACTTCACTTCCTCATTGGTTCATTCATTTGTGTCAATGTAATATTCACACAATTACAAACTATGATGAACAAGTCCCACTCTGAAATTTGAGCCCTAAAGGCTGCATATGTTATCCAAATATATAACCTAATGCTAAGAACATTGGGATTCGTTCAACCACAAATTTATGTAATTTCAATTATTTCTAATGTTGCAATAGAAGCATCATGTTCAACTCATCATAGCTCAGAACATTTTTCTATTACATCTTCTGGAAAAGAAATACTGTTCTTCAAAGTTCCACAATTTTCGTAGCCTTCAGCAAAATACATTTCTCACCTTTATTAGCACAATCTTTACTATTAAGCCATTTACCTAAGTTAGTTTTTGACTGACTCTCCAATCTGACTGACAGGATTATAGACATAATGTGTTTCCTCAAGGGATTTTTCAACTTACAGAATCAGTCTGCAAATTTCTCACTGTCTAAATTATAACCCATGATTTAGTGTCATCCATTTACAGATCCTCAAAATCACGAATAGAGGGAGATTGAATTTCTACAGGTGGTTCCCCATGGCCCTTTGCCAACAAAAGCTTAGGAGCTTATGACAGTGAATTACACTTCAGAAACCATCCTGTTTTTTGTAGCTAAAATTGATGTTGCTTTGTCACCACTGCCTGAAAATAGTGAGAGACTGGAAGATGCCTGGGTGCCTCAGAATACCACTTACAGAGACAGGCCCTAAGGAAGATAGCTGCAACCCAGATAAAAGCTGGCAAGACTAGCTAATCACATGGATATATTTGCATCAGGTAGTGCATGCCACAGCAGACAGTTTTAATGAAAAACATACTGGAAAGAGCAGACAAACACCTGCAGCACACACATCTCCCCTTCCCCTCCACCAATAAATAGAAGTTGTATGAACATAGAAACACAAGCTCCCCAGTAAGAGCAAGCAAGGAAAAGATCCACAGCAGGTCTGCAGATAGGGCCTGCAGGGGGTAGAATCATAGAATCAGCCAGGTTGGAAGGAACCTCTGAGATCATCAAGTCCAACCCTAGATCCAACACCGCTGTGGTTACTAGACCATGGCACTAAGTGCCACATCCAGTCTCCTCTTAAAAACCTCCAGGGACAGTGAATCCACTACTTCCCTGGGCAGCCCATTCCAATGTCTGATTACCGTCTCTGTAAAGAATTTCTTCCTAATATCCAACCTAAACCTCCCCTGGCAGAGCTTAAGACCATGCCCTCTTGTCCTACTGATAGTTGTCTGGGAGAAGAGACCAACCCCCACCCGGCTACAACCTCCTTTCAGGAAGTTGTAGAGAGTGATGAAGTCTCCTCTGAGCCTGAGCATCAGAAGAACAGCATGAGGTCAGGCTTTACAGCACATCCTTGGCTCCGCCCAGTTGCAAGTCATCGCTTATTGCCCAGTGACACCATGGCATCACATGGTTCAGGCACTGAGCCTCAGTGTTTCCCATATAGCACAACAGCTGAAAACAAGCCTTTGCCCCAGTGCACCCCCATGAAGCTCCTGACACAATGCAGAGACAGGTCAAACAGCTAAAGTCAGGGTACGACCTGCAGACAAGGCCTTGCCCTTAATTTGTCAGATGCTTCAGCAATCAAGTAATAAAACAACACAGAGCCAAGTTTAACACTGAAGTACAAGTCATTCACAGTCCAGCTTTTACCAAGCTTCAGGATCATGCAAGTTTCTTCCCCTTGGAGGAAGGCCCACTGCCATGGAGAAGACACGGTAGAACATGAAGCAATGAAGGCTAAAGAGCAATAGATTTCAGTTCACACTAATATGTGCTGGAAATTGTGGTAAAAAGGAGTAAAGAAAATGTATCATCTTCTATATTCCTTATGGAATGGCCTTACCCAGAAATGAGGCCAACAGCTGGGGATAGGATGATGATTTACTTCTTTAGCCATCCCTACATAAGACCCCAGAGCGTGCAAAATTGCCTTTACACAAAGTTGTGCTGATGAAATCAGATTGATGACTTTTTTTACATAATAAAATGCTGTCAGGTATAGTGTTAATAATAATTTAAGAAATTATCTAAGGCTTTGATTAAAGATGTTATATATAGATGAGAAAGGTAAAATATTTATTCTACAGTTCAATAAAAAAATGTTCTCTTATAACAAACACAAAGATGAGTCGCCCGGTGTCTGGCATTCTTTGTGAATATTTACCAGAATTACCAGTGTCAGCATCTGGCCAATGTAGCTATGAGTGTGTTAAACACTAAAACATAGAAAAGAGCATTTTCTGACTTAAATTTATTATGGATGTTTTTGTTTTGGCATGACTTTTTAAAAAACAAGGATCATGGATCTTGTCAGGGTATGAGCATCATAGGGAAAGGAAGAGAAGTCTGAGAATTTTACCTGAATAAAATGTGCAGTGGCTTGCACATTTCAATACTCTTTCTGAATCTTAAGTTCCAGATAAACATTCATAACTGCATTCACCACCAGTCTGGTAATGTTGTTCTGAAATTTAGAGGCTCGATTTTCCTTGAATCTCCAGATAGGTCCTGTCCTTAAACTCTAAGCAGCAACAAAACCAACAAAATAGGTAGAGCTCATACTGCTAGTACAATATCACATGGTTCAAGCAATCATAGGAGCATGGATGCCATTCTGCATCTAAAGTTTTCAGAATGCTCTCACACCAGTAGGCAACACAGGGCATATAAAGCAACATTAAACCATTTTGTCAGTAGTTCAATAAAGCACCACTATTTTCCTACTTTCTTAGAAATTAACTTCCCATCTCAGACATCCACACTAACCAAAAAGTCCCGTCCATATAGAAGAGTTCAAAAAATGCTCCCAGTCTTTCTTATTAAATAAATAAATAAATAAATAAATACACATTTCTCAGTATACATTTTTTAAGTCCTCTAGCTGTCCAGACAGCAAAATCCTACACTGCATTGTAGACTAAAGGGAAAGTGTAGCCATCTTGTTATATAACAACATAAATATGGGGGAACACACAATCAGCTCAAAAAAGGGACTAGCTCAGAATGGAGTAAACAAAATTCTTCCTCCAGCATAACAAGTCTGTCTAATTGCCATCTATAAATTTGTTACCAAGGGAAAGAGTGTAATGAGTTTCTACAGAAATAACCCAAACACTATCCAGCATCACAATAGTGAATGTGACAAAATCAGATTTCAGTTTTTAAAAGCTAACAGTTTTAGGAGAATGTAAGTCTTCAGACACAAGAGACTTAAAGCCATGATAGATGTGATGTAAAAGTTATATAATACTAGCTCCCTATAATATCAGGGCTGTTTGCACAGTTTTTTCTGAGGTATCTGATGCTGACTACAGCACTGAACTGGGGTCTGATCCAGCCTGACAGTTTCTATGTCTCTTTACATTTAACAGGGTAGAATTAAAAATACAATAAAAATCAAACAATACAGAGACATTCCTGGTGATCCATTGCAGAGACAGTTATAAAAAGAATAAGCTCTCTCCCCCCCCCCTTTTTTTAACCAGAGTGGCAGAATAAACCTATTTGATTTTTTTTTTCATGTTATAATTAAATTCCCAATAATGGAAAACAGACAAACCCACTTTTTGTTTTCACCTAGAGTTTTCTGTAGCAGTCATTACTAATGCCTTTGTTAAGCAGAAGTCAGGTGGAACCAAGAAAACAGGAACTAACCTGCTGCTCCTTTGAATCTCTGATCTGGGTGTCCAAAGAACAAGGATTTGTTGCAGTCATTGGATTGCCACCTGCCCAAGGCATTCAACTGTATCTAGCACAATGACGCTGGAAACAATTCATGAGTAAATACACAATAACATTTGTATGTTTACAGCATCTGTCAAAGGTGTGGGTATGGTGATTTCTCTACTGTGTGTTTCCAGTGCAAGTCAAACCCATTAATTAAATTCATGCTCTTGTCCTGCTTCAAAAGGAAAAACAGAGCTGATTTATGGGCACTGACTGCTGCAGGAACTAGGAGCTGGTTTTGCTCACTCTCTCTCCTTAATTAATTTTTAAGCATCTGGATAGGTTGATTTCTCAGATTCTGATCATACAAAAGGCTGCACATCCACAATTTCTACAAAGAAAAAGAGCTGCTCCATGAAGAGTACTGTCTGTCAGGGTTTCTCAGTGCTGGCTGAATAGTGTCTACAGGAATTGTGTACCAGAACATCCCTGTGCCCAAGCAAGGGATGAAGCTGCAAAAGGTCACGATTATAAGACATTTCTTATCTCATAATTATTTTGCTTGTCCCAACAACAAAAATTCTAAAATGAGGGAAAGTTGCCTGCAGAACAGTGTTATTTGCTGCAACAAAAAAAAAATCTCTTTTTTACAAGAGTTTCAGGGAAATTGCCAGAAATATCTTCTGTTACAAGGCATATCAATGCCTCTATATTGCCACACCAAATATATGCAAAATATCAGCAACACACCAGTGTGGTTTTTATTTCTTCTACGTTCTTTAAACAGGAGACAGATTGCTAACATTTGGGGCTGAAATCCGGAGGTAAGACATTTAACACCCAAACTAGGAACAGGAAACTGTTACAGAAGTGGAAAATTTTGGATACTGAACTTTCACCCTAGGCTTCTGGGAGATTTTTACTAGTAAAGAACTATATGAACATAGACTATAATCAATAGATTATATTGATGCTGCATCACCTGCCCAGCAGAGCCACATGCTGCTGCTGCTGACACTGCTAATAAAGATCAAAGCTTCCCATGCATTAACGAGCTAAACCTGGGTGTTCTGTGTTTCATGCCATGCTTCTAGACCCTATATTGACAGAGTGGAAGGCTGGGACAGATGAACTCTGGAACTACCTTTCAATCAATTATTTTATGATTCTGTACAACACCTTGTAAAACATAAGGCAAATTTATTTTGTTGTGATTCATAGTCCAGGCACCAGAAAGCCTGCTATGAAGAAGGATATACCATATAAAACAGCTCATTATCACTAGTTGGCAGGAAGAAATAGAAAGTAGCCAGCATGGCCTACAAGAGTGGTGGAACAAACAGAACATAAAATTATCTCTTGCTGTCAGTGACCCAAAGGGGCCTCACTAAGACATGACTACAACTAAGAACTCTATCTAGACATGAATGGACACATGATAATGGACTGCAGGATCAACTAAACAGACAACACTATCCTAAGGTGTCTCAGCTAATGGAAAGAGGGTAATTCTCCAGAAATCTCTTGTACAACTGGCAAGACCACACAGCTCTTCCAGACAGCCTATTTTCAGCTGTGGATCAAGACCTCTCCTTTTGTCGGCTTGTTTTAACCACTCAAAAAACAACCCTGTGCCTTTTCAGTTACAGATTTCAGAATTCAAGAGCCAGCATTCTGATCTATAAAAACTTTTTAAATTCATGAAAGATTGACAGAATAACTCACCTCAACATGATTATATTTCCTAGGTACGTTTTGTAAAGAAAATGGACTATTTGTTTCTCTTCCCCCTCAATTACCTCAGTGAACCAAGACAACTGTCATTACCCACGTTTACTTTTCCTCACCCCTACAGAGTCCAGCAGAGAAGTGTGCAGTTTTACAGTGGAAATATTATTTCTTCACTCTAAGCATTCATACAAACAATTTAGGATTTTCAAATTTAGCTTTGATTTCACAAAACTGTTCCATTTCTTGAACTTACAACAGAATCTTAAAGAGTTTTAGTCCACTTCTAGCAAGGTCGGTCACAGTTTTACCATCAAAATTAATACACATTAATACAACCATCTGTAAACAATTATAGAGAAACACACGGGCAGAATTGCAAAGAATGCATGGAAATCAGAGGTTTGTTCCACTGAAAGATTGTAATGAAGAGCTGAACTGATCCTAAAGACCCAAAAGAAAAAGCTATTGGACGACAGTTTGCAGTAGAGAAAATATTTGGGCAGTACCACAAAAGCACAAGGGCCAAGGCTATTAGAGAAGGGGAGGAAACTGTGAGGGGAATGCAAACCTCAGGGCATAAATTGAAACCACTCTTGATAGCTAAGAACTTTCTGAAACTCTACCATAGAATTCTAACATTTTTTATCAACGAAGGAAAACAAGTAGTGTCTACAACCAACTGATCTTCAGCTCAGCTTTGAAGCCCAAGTTATGATTTCTGGAAAGGAAGAGTTAAACTCTATATTGTTTGAGTAAAATATGTTAGTTCTCTTTGATCCTTAGGGGGAGGGAAATTTTTCTTATGAAAAGTGCCGGTCAACTTCGCACATTATATAAAGAGGGGCTGTGTGTGGTGCTTGAAAGTTTCAGGGTGGGAGCTCCTAATGGATCAGTGGCATTAGTGGATGGATCAGTGGCAACTCTCCAGCCTGTCAGAAAATGCAACACCCCATGCACACTTCCACTGGAGGACACAACTTTTAAAACCAAAAACCTAGAAAGAGATTCAACAGCAGCACAAGAAGGTAAATAGGGAAATAATTGCTCAGTGCCAGAATCAACCTGATTTTGTCCAGCACAAAACACACCCAGGGTCTGAAGTGTACCTCTGGTCTGTGCCAAAGTGGGTTTAAGGTACTTTGATTTTGACTGTATGGCTTTGAGATAGCGTGTTTTTCAGCAACTAAATTAAATGGAAAATGCAAATATGAACTTCTGAGAGCCTTATGATTTTGTTTAAATTCCAGGTTATTTTGGAATGGGAAAACTACTTGCTGCTTGGATCCATGACAACCATGTAGATACTAGTCACTCGATTTAACAATCTACACCACCATGGTAAGCCATATTCCAAAGACTGGGTCTCAGGTCACTGGTAGTTGTGTTCTGCAATAAGTTGGAGTGACTGGGTATAAGGCTTCATGTTTCTGTCTCAAACACAGCAACATAAAAAGTATTAAACAACAAAAGCAAGCAGGATATGGCAACACACCTTGATTTACAAACACTGTTTTACACACCAGACAAGTATTAGGTTTCTCAGAATATCTCAAAAGGGACGTTGCTAAGCAAAGATGATGGTAAAAAGAGTATTTCATTAAGACATCTGAATGTAATTTGCAGGATTAACAACCATGTTCCAAACTATTACCAAGCCGAAGAGGAAAAAGCTCCAAATACAATGAAAAAAAAAAAAGGATATTTTTAACTCAAGTTTAAGTACAAATATAGAATGCTTTATGCCTAATTGTATTTGACACTGAGAAAATTAACTACTGGTTCAATTCCAGCTTCTACACTTATTCTTCTGTTAAATATACAGCACTTGAGACTGAGTTTTCAGCACTTATTTTAACATTATAAGCAAACAGGTTTGCTAATTGATTGGTTCCCCTTTTCCTTAAAGAAAAAAACCTGCACACTCTACTTTTGGGTCAAAAGCCAATTACATGCATCAGAAGTTGACAGTGAAACCAGTTATCATTTGACATGATATAATGGATATGCTGACAACTTACCAACAGCTGTGATTTCCATCAGCTCTCCTTTTTGGCATTTCCATTTTAAATTTCCGGGGAATCATAGGAATTTCATAGAAGATTGAAAATAAACAAACCCCAACTATTAATTAACCCTATAGCTAACCTACAGCTTCAAAATTTGTTAAACAGACAAAAGGAATTCACAGCAGTTAAGAATGCACTTTAAGGTTTAATTAAAGAGGTTACATCTTTTGAATTTGTTAAATAAAGTCTGCATCCTTTCAACATGGGGCCATTTCCTTTCATTTTCAATTTCCTTTCACCGTATGCATAAATTTTCAGACCACATCTTACACAAAACAAGTAACAGCATTGAGACAGAATTACACTGCAAGTAAGATTAATTAGAGATCAGAGTAAAAATTAAAAGGAGGAATCTAGTTGGTAATTAATAATGACAGCTATGTTTAAAAAAATAGAATTATTGCAAAAAAAGATTTAAAATGCCCTCAGTAAAAGGTTGCATAAAAACAGGAACATACCATGACTCATTCTTCATAAGCTTTATTATTTACTCCACCTACAGTACTGATGTCACCTTTAACAGATGCACAGAAATATTCTCAGCCATTTGCAACAGTATAGTAAGATTGAATAGGGCTATAAATCTCCAAAGTGCAGCACAAACATAGAGAAGGATACAAAATGGTGACATACAAGGCAAGTAAAGTGACTTCTTGTAGGGCAACAGAGCAATGCAGTGAATCAAGGCTGAGTGAATCCCAAGTTCTCCTTAGCAATGAGTCACATCAGATATCTGGGTTGCTTATATTTGCATTCAGTTTTCAGTCTTTCAGGCTATTAACAGAAAACCTTCTAAATATCACCTATGGATCAGAAACTATGCAGTGTTGCCTTCTTGAATTTGTAGGCAAATAGAAACCATGAAACTACACAGCCAGAACTACTTTCAAACCTGGAGGCTAGCTACTGGAATTTTATAAGAACTTTTCAATTTACCTATACATTCTGAGAAGTATAACTGCACAGAATATGTATGCAAAAAGAGAAGCAGCAGCAATGACTATGTTGCTTGTACTATCCCTCCCCAGCCCCGTTAACTATGGATGCTGAATTCAGGAGTGAACTACCTTGGCTTAGATCCTAGGAGGAGTGTCCTGCTGAAAGGGATCTCAAGGCCAGTAAGAATCTCCCTCTCTTACAAGAAAAGACTTGCAGATTTCACAAATGATGCAAGCACAGCTCTCCCTGGATTTCTGGTTTGTAATGTAAGTTGCACTGAGATTTTTCAAGTTACCACTAAAGGAGAAAGATGCCAAAAAGAAAGAACATGGCCCAAATTCTAAAATGCACAGAAAAATACATTGCCCATTACACAGAAATGAGCTTGACTTGGTGATTAATAATCATTATAGGTTTGCCTGCTCACACAGATCCATGTGGGTGTATCCTGCTCACTACAAGAAATAAAATATTTACATTTTTAAAGGAGAAAAAGCAACTGTATTGTTACACTCTAATGCTACAATTATCTCATTAATTTATTTGTCTTTTTATAAATTCTTAATAGAAAACATTTTGCTGAATTTTCCTTTTAGTCTGGAGCACATATCTGAAAGAACAACAGCTTTACCAAAACCTAGAATATTACTGCAATGCCAGAGGCATTTCTTAAGTTTCAAAATTTGTGAAAATCTGAAGGGTGAAGTTCTGACAAGCATACAGTAAAGTTTTAATTGATACTATAAATATCCTGACTCCCAGAAAACCAAAAATCCCATAATACTGCATATTTGAAAGTTTTCTAATTTTGCTGTTGTTGTTTAAACACTTCACATGAGTCCTAATCCACTGTAGCAAAGCTCATGCTCACTTTAAGCAGGTTAGCATTCCAATTCAGCTCAAGGGGATGAGCATACTACTCAAGTGATTTGTTTGATCACTGTCTAAAATTTAAAATTCACAATGGTACCAAGAGGAGGTTGTTATATTTCCACACTATTTGCAGTAGACAGTCTACACATCAGAGTAACCCTCTTACTTGTGCACGCACATGAAGAAACCACTTGCAAAGTGTTTTACTATTGCAGGATCAAGACATTTAAAACAAATCTTTCAAGAAGTCGATGGAGCACAATCTGAAAGGTAGGATTATTTTTTTTTTTAATTCTCCTTGTGTAGGTTTAAAACTTACTGGCCATTCACTATTGTAACTTCAGCATTCCACAACATAAAACACCTCTGGGTTATTTTTCTCTGCAGTACTCCACAATACTTTCTAATGGCAGTGCTCTGCTGCTGCAAGCACTGGTGAGAAAACAGGTTCTGAACTATGTTTCTTTCCAAACCCTAAGGTTCCTGATGCAGCAAATTTGCCAGTTTCCACTATGAAGTTTAGAAAAAGACACTGTACAGAAGAAATACAGGAATAAGTTGAATCAATCTAAATCAGTTAACAGAGGTGAAAAATGGCAGGAGAAAATGTGGAAATGCAGGCAAATGGTATGGGAAGAACAAGCTAAATCAAGCGGGGGAAAGAAAGAGGGGGATTTGGGAAAAGAACTAATTGGAAAACAAAAATGTAAGGATTAATTTGGTTGGAGAGGGAGAGCACCCTGACTTCTGACAGTTTCCTTACAAAAAGCTGCATGTTATTCCATGAAATGGTCAAACACAAAAGCACAATATCCTGACAATTTTTAAAAATCTCCTTAATCCATTTGTTGGGTTTGGGGGGGTTTTTTGGTTTGGTTTGGTTTGGGGAGGGGGGGAGAATACAGCTTTTGCTTGGGTTTTTTTAACTTTTTTTTTTTTTTCAGAAGAGAATCATTGACTCATACAAATTGCTTTTGGCTTTATCCAATTTTCTTTGTATTAAGAGAGGCTGATGTTCTGAGCAGTACAACAACACCACAATATCTGCCACTGGCAATATTTCAGATGATATAAACAAACCAGAAGCATTTGAAATATTCAGGGCAAAGTGATTTTTGGGGACACTAAGCTACAATTGAATACCAGAACTGAGATCATGTATCCTGTCTGGCCTCAATCCTGCCTAAAGGCCTATACACAAAAAACTCCAATACCTATATTTGAAGCAATCTCCATAGACATCCAAGCTTACTTTCAGAATATTGCTCCCTTAAGTAAAAGTCTATGGCATACTTAAAGGATAAAGGCCTGCTAAACTCCAGCAGTGTCTCTTCATGCCCGCTTCCGAAGACTCAACAGGGTAAAAAACAAACAAACAAACAAAAAAACCCAGAAAAATCAAACCAAACAAACAAAAAAATTCAAACCAAACCAAAACAAAAAACACCAAGGAAGTACTGAACCTTTTCACAGAACTGATGTGCAACCAAGAGTTTTCGATAAGCTAGAATGCCAGAATTACAGAAGTTACCTTGATCAGACTTCATTGTTGTTTTCCTAAGTTTTATTTTCTTATTTTAACTTACAAAAATTTTATGATATCTAAAACATATGAGATTTCCACCTTTTCTCCTTTTCCATCTACTTCTGTTCACCAGGTGTTTCCCAGATTACCTAAAGATTCAGTCTTTCAACAATATATTTTAAATGTCTTTAGCCCCAAATTGCTGCAGAAGGCCAATAAATTGTTTTTGCACAGAACTCACAGGCAAATACAAGAAGCAACAGCTTCCAGCAGATGGATCAACAAAGACCTAGATTTCATAGTATACAGTGTGCTGCTGTGCAACTGTACAACAATGTGCATGGCACAACCAAATAAAACACCTGGGAAGCAGTCTGGCTTGCCAAGTTTTTCTCACAAACTAAATCTTATGACAGTATGCTGTAGCCTTCATGCTCACTGTCTGATATTTTCCATTTTCCAAATGTCCCAAGTAGAATTTCTCATTGATACCACCATCCATAAAACTAATACAATAAAAAAGACATTTTTTCAGGAGGCAACAAAAGATAGCCCTTTTATATATATATATATATTCAGTTGAGAAACAATCCACATCTAGAACATATTTCTATATTTAAGCAGGCTTATACTCTTCAGCTGATTCTGCAAATGGAGATCTAAGGAAAAGTGACTTCTGGGCCAGGAGACAGGAAACAAGCAGCTAGCTCCACAGCCAGTTATGCTGACATAAAAATTCAAGTAAAAAGATTTGTTTGCTTTCCTGTCAGTACTGCAAAGAAAATCAAACTGCAGTTTCTGGCTCATTCAGCCCCAGAGTAATAAATATTCTGAAAGGCAGATTCTGTCCTTATTTACATTCTCCCAGTCACCTCTGGTGAGGGTGCAGGAAACTAAGGCCACATCATGGCCAGGAGACAATTTGTTTTGTATTCACATTGTCATGTGGATCTTGCATTGCTATAGGATCTTAGGGACCATGATACCAGTTCAAATCAGTGACCTGAGTGACCAGCAATATCCCAGTTTTCAGCTCAGTGCCTGAGTTTAGTGCCAGTTCATGTTTAAGTCACAGGTAGGTAGAGATCCCCCAGCTGTGCCTCATCAGGCACTGCAGTTCATCAGTTTGCTCAGCACAATCTCACACACAGCCAAAACGGGACACAGCCAAAAGCAAACGTGTCAAGGACTGAATGCAACTGCAGACCCTGACATATTGATACTTTCTTCAAATGCACCCTCCTTACCTCAGCATTTGCCCTTCCTCAAATTCAGCTAAAATTTCAATATGATCTTTCATCAGGGATAGCAACATCTTTAAATATTGTTAAATTTAACAGATGTCTTTGACCTCTCAGCAACTGTTGGATTTATGCAGTCCTCAAAATTTACCAGACTTTAATATATCTATGGATTAAGCATCATGTTTTTGTCCTCTCTACTCTGGCATTCTAAATTTTTTGAGCCCTGTAAAGTTCCTTCTTTGTACCTCATCTTTCATCCAAAAGTTGAAATTTCACTTCTTCAGCTATCCCTATAGACAGAACTAGAAGCAAGAAAGTTATCATCAGACCTTTCGTTTTTCTCATTTCCTTTATATTTTAAAGATAGGTCTGATGGACCTACTGAGGGAAACAAAACAAACAAAAAAATTAATCACCAGATTTGGAATTGTATGTATTTTTTTTATGCTGGGAGAAATGTTTCAGCCACTAGGAAAAAAAGAAAGTATAAAGAACAATGACACACATATAAAAACCTCAGTGTTTCCCATGAAGTAGACAACTAGGCAGAAATTAGTCAGTGGAGGGACTCATCAAGATTTTATTTTAAGTAACCCAAAACGTCTCCATGATTTCAGTGTATGATTGTTTCTCAAGTAGGCACACAGAATATGGATGGACTCTGTAAAAGGCTTGTGGTCTTCAGTATGCTCAGACCAGGCCACTGAACAGGGTTGAAATTACAGAATATCACAGAAGCAGGGCAGAGCAGTTCAAACTTAGGTCTGATCCTCCAGCTAATATGACAAGGGAAAATACCTCAGATGGACATTGAATACACCTCAAAGTACAGATATTTCTAGCAAGAGCTAGGAAGCAGCCTCTTGCATGTTTACAGAATAGGAACCATATGAGAAGACAGGAAACAGCAGAGTATTATGAAGTATTCAAATACTTCAGAAATAATTAGGAGCAAATAATAGCTTTCAACAGCTATACCACCATAATGTGAACATGGAACAGAATTTCCAAATTATAGCTTTTATTTTTGCTGCAACATCTTTATAAAGTACCTCATATTTTAAAATAAACATAAAAAATTTAACTTGAACAGTTATGGTATACATCACTTGCCATGCACTTCTCTTTCAGCAGCCGCATGCAATCAAGTCAATCTCTCTGTATGACATCTTCCTACTATTCTCTTGGGAAGCCATAAGAGCAATGATCCTTTGAAATCCATAACCAAGACATCAGTAGCTGTGTTTTAAAAACTGGGGAGCAAATAAGGAGACATTATCACCAACAGGAAGAGAAAACTGCTTGGACTGCCACATACTGTCATACATTTATTCCCTGTTTGAGACTCTTTTTATTTATCTTTGCATATCTGTGTATGACACTTAAGGAGAGGTAACTTTATAAACACTTAAGGAGAGGTATATTTATATAGAAATGCAGCTTTACAACCTAACTTGACATGTTATTTGTTTATCAGAAAGATTATGGTATAAAAATGACAAACCACTTCCTCTGCTGAATCCCTTCAAGACTGACAAATGGGGCAAAGGAGTTGAGTTTTTCTCCTGGAAAGATTCATTGCAT